CAGGTAATGACGCTCGTCCATAATGAGGCTGTGCTGTTAATGAACACAGGGCTATTATCCGACCACAGGCTGGACACATCCGAAAATAAATTATTTTAAGGGTCCATTAACGAATGCCTAATTAATGCCCAATTAGAGGGAAGCTACAGAGGAAACGCTCCGGACTGTCGCGTGGAGAGGCCTGATTGGCAGCCCCAGCCTGGGAGCTGGGCGCAGGCAAGGGGGGCTGGGTTGGGGGGTCTGCCCTCGGGCCACCCTTAGTTCTTCGTAAGCATGTGTGGCCTCTCATCTAATATTCAGGACAGCTCTGTGAGGGGCACCACTTAGAGACCAGGAAACTGAGGTACAGGGGAGGGTGGGGGTGTGTGTGGCCCAGGCCGCTTTCTGGAGAACTTTGGCGTCATGCATGCTTTGCTTGCTGATTGGAGATCACTTAACTGAAACGACTCGAGCTTGGCCATGGTATTGACTTTGCCTGAATGGGAGTCTGCACCGCAGGCTGTTAACACAGAGCCACAGGAGAGCTGAGGGGCGGGGCTATCAGCTGTGGGTGGGGCTAAGCTGGTCCTGTGCTGTCAGGCCACTCCCTCTCATCTTTGCGCTCCACTGCTAGTGGAAAGAGCATCATTCGAACCCGCCCAATGTTGCTGCGGAAGAAAGATCCGAGGACCCACTTCCACAGAGACTGCTGTTGTCGGGTGCCTGGGAAATGATCCCGAGCCTGACTCACGGCGGCCGCACGTCACGAGAGTAGAGCGTTGAGCAATATGTTACTGTGTTTGACAATTTCTACACAAGGTGCTCGGTGACATCCGTTACATTTTGAGTGCTCCTACAGCCCTGGGCAGAATGGTTGGTCGTGGGAGCGGGGCAGGGTGGATGAGACATGGCTGGCGTAGGGCTATTAGCCCTGGAGACTGGCTCCTTATCCCGGGACGTGAGTTGTTTCTCTTCTGTTCCTTGTGGAATAGCTCCAGTTGGACACACGTGTGGTGAACGTTGACTAGGTGTTGACTGGGCAGCAATAGGTTTGATTCGGGTTTTTTGTTTCTAGAGGCGGGGGCCAGTGAGTGAAGTTAGAAATCTCATCCAAGATAGAGTTCTAACGCCTCCCTGGCCCAGCCCCGCGGGGTCCATGAGCCCAACAAAGGCACAGCCAAAGCCCAGCTGGCCCCAAGAGTGTCCTGTGCCAGCCGGCACCCTGTAGCCCACTGTGGCCCACCCCTACCCCCCCTCTCCTGGGCGGCTGCTGACCTGCCCATGCTCTCTGTCCCCACCAGGTTGCTGTGTGGAGCTGCTGCTGCTGCTGCTGCTACTGGCCGGGGAGCTGCCCCTGGGTGGCGGCTGCCCACGAGACTGCGTGTGCTACCCGGCGCCCATGACGGTCAGCTGCCAGGCACACAACTTTGCTGCCATCCCCGAGGGCATCCCGGAGGACAGCGAGCGCATCTTCCTGCAGAACAACCACATCACCCTTCTCCAGCAGGGCCACTTCAGCCCCGCCATGGTCACCCTGTGGATCTACTCCAACAACATCACCTTCATCGACCCCAACACCTTCGAGGGCTTCGTGCACTTGGAGGAACTGGACCTCGGCGACAACCGCCAGCTGCGGATGCTGGCGCCCGAGACCTTCCAGGGCCTGGTGAAGCTCCACGCCCTCTACCTCTACAAGTGCGGCCTCAGCGCCCTGCCGGCGGGCATCTTCGGCGGCCTGCATAGCCTGCAGTACCTCTACCTGCAGGACAACCACATCGAGTACCTCCAGGACGACATCTTTGTGGACCTGGTCAACCTCAGCCACCTGTTCCTCCACGGTAACAAGCTGTGGAGCCTGGGCCAGGACACCTTCCGGGGCCTGGTCAACCTGGACCGCCTGCTGCTGCACGAGAACCAGCTGCAGTGGGTGCACCGCAGAGCGTTCCACGACCTCCGCAGGCTCACCACCCTCTTCCTCTTCAACAACAGCCTCTCCGAGCTGCAGGGCGAGTGCCTGGCACCGCTGGGGGCCCTGGAGTTCCTGCGCCTCAACGGGAACCCCTGGGCCTGCGGCTGCCGGGCTCGCTCCCTGTGGGAGTGGCTGCGCAGGTTCCGAGGCTCCTGCTCCGTCGTCCCCTGCGTGTCCCCGGAGCTGCGGCAAGGTCAGGACCTGAAGCTGCTGAGGGCCGAGGACTTCCGGAACTGCACTGGGCCAGCCTCTCCGCACCAGATCCAGTCCCACACGCTCACCACCACCGACAGGGCCGCCAGAAAGGAGCACCACCCTGGCCACCGCCCCGCCAAGGACAGGGGCCACCCGCCAGGCTCCCGGAAGCCCGGCAAGAACTGCACCAGTCACAGGAACCGGAACCAGATCGCTAAGGCGGGCGTCGGCAAGCAGGCTCAGGAGCTGCAGGACTATGCTCCCGACTACCAGCACAAGTTCAGCTTTGACGCGCTGCCCACCACACGGCCCAAGAGGAAGGGCAAGTGTGCCCGTAGGACCCCCATCCGGGCCCCCAGTGGGGTGCAACAGGCCTCCTCAGCCACGTCCCTGGGGGCCTCCCTCCTGGCCTGGATCCTAGGTCTGGCGGTCACCCTCCGCTGAGGACCCAGGGGGTGGGAGGGCGCGTGCCCAGCACTGCCACCTGTCCACCAAGGAACAGCATTTATTTTCTTCTCTTTTTTGGACAAATGGAGGAGCTGCTAGGTTTCAGGGAAAGGCTGGTAGGGGCTCTAGCCACTGCCTGGGCTCTGCCCAGTGGAGTATAAGCCCAACGTGTACAGCCCCAGGCAGAAGGGGGTGAGTGCACATCGCCCAGCTGCCCCTCCCCTCACCAAGCACCCATGGACAGCGTCCACGCCAGCGAGGCAGTACCAGACAC